GAGCAGCGGCGAGCCCCGCTCGCCAGCCGCGCTGTCCAGCGTTCTGCGCACACGCAGATCGCCCGAACCCGACTCTTCCGGGATGTAATCTAGTCACCACGGGCCCTGCTTATTGGATTGTCGAGCCCTGCTTATTGGATAGTCGACTAGTCACTTACATCCCTACTATAGAGCAGGCTTAAGCAATTAATTGGAACCAGGAACTCCCATATTCTAAGACTATCCCGACTTCTTGCGTGACCTTTCACAATTAATCACCATTCTGGCTTCATTCCCCAATGTAAAAAGGGGATTATAAAACATCCCTCACAAGAACATGAATGATTAATACAAGTTTGTTCATCCAATATGATCACTGACACAAAAAACTGGTGTCAAGTACTCATCAGAAAAACTCTTATTACAGCCATATCTATAAATCAGACTTTCCAAATGTTCTCTATAAGATGAACTACATTTTAACAGCTATTTCTCAACTCATTTTTAAATTCTAATGTCTTTGAGACACCTACAGCAGTTGCCTACATGGCAAAATAATATTAGGAAACTGTTCAGTGAATTTTTAATCTGTCAAATATGATAACCAAGCAACAATAGTTGACAAGTCAGTACCACGTGACCAGCCAGCTCTCTACAGACTATCTGCAGTCCATGGATCCGAGTTTGGGAATCTCAACCATAAATACCCCACATTATGTTGCTTTAATAGCTAGTATTTATGGCTTTGCCTATACTAGTTTTCACAGTTTACCTAGCACCAGAGACTCTTCACTGGTAACAGTAACAGAAGACCAGTGGTTTCCCACTAGTAAGCTGTGGAATGTCAGGCACTGGGTCTTGCTGCTCAAGGTGATCAGAGAGAGTGCTAAAGCAGACTACCTGCATGTTCTGTCACCACAGATCATGCTGCGCCCCAGAAATAGCCAGAGAGAGGCACGGCTCCCAGGTGTGTGTGGGGAAGAGTGCATAGGACTCCAAGCACTGCTCCTGCCCAAGCATTAGATCTACACGGATATAAGTTGGGAACCTGCTGCTGGCTGTTTCTGGAGCGCAGCATCATCTGTGGTGCCAGGAAAGGCATAAAACCTGCCTTAGCACTGTCACTGCCTGGGAATTGCTCAAAGTAAGCCCCTCCTGCCAAAGCCATGACCCCCAAAGGCCCCCTACACCTGAAAGCTCTCATCCTCAGCTCCACCTGGGAGCCCACATTCTAGTCAAATTATGTTGGGTCCCAAGCATCAATAATTTTCTTCAAGTGGGTCACAAGAAAAAAAGTTTGAAAACCACTAGTGTAGACCACTGAGCAGTGAGAGACATGGCACTCATTTAATCACTTCAGTCTGGCACAACTGAAGTGGAGGCAAAGCAGAAGGGAAAGCATACAACAGCAATGATTCTCATCCAGGGATGTGTGTACTCTTGGGGGTATGCCAACTCATCTAGATATTTGCCTAGTTTTACAAAAGGCTACATAAAAAAGAACTAGCATAGTCTGTACAAATTAAAATTTCATGTTTATGTGTACTGCTCTATACACTATACACTGAAATGTCAATATTTATATTATAATTGATTTTATAACTATATGGTAAAAATGAGAAAATAAGCATTTTTCAGTAATATGCTATAACACTTGAATGTTTATGTCTGATTTTAATATGCTGGAACACTTGAATGTTTATGTCTGATTTTATAAGTAAGTAGTTTAAGGGAGGTGAAACTTGGAGGTGTAGACTTCTGAAAAAGATACAGTAGTCAGGAAAGGTTGTGAGCTACTGTATTACAATATGTCACCATGTACACAGAGACTTGGGTAATGATCTGTTTGAACGAAATCACAATTAGAAGGGCTCCTAATGAGTCATCAAATCCTGTATGAATGCAAAGAGCTAGATTAATTAAACCTAGACCATCCGTGAAAGGTTCTTAAAAGTCATCAATGATGGGGATTCCACAACCTCCCCTGAAGCCTATTCCAAAGCTTAACTACACTTAGAATTCACAATTTTACAACAGCTAACTAAAATCTCCCTTGAAGATTAAATCCATTACTTCTTGCCCTATACACACTTTAAAAGTGAACACAAGATACTACATTAAGTACATGGATTTTCTCTCTTTCTCATGCTTTTCCATAGTGTAACATTTGGAATTCCATCTTAGGAGGCAGAAAGAATTATCATTTTAGGATTTCTTCAAAACAGAATATAAAAACAGTAATTAGGATAACAATATCCAAGTCTGAATGGAATTAGAAGTTATGATTCAAACAAAATTGATTCCCAAATCATTGTAAAAGTATTTTCCCCTCCCTCCAAACAGAAATTTGGGGCTCTCACACCTTTCCCCGAAGCAGGGGCCAGATTAAGACAATACTCTGTGGCACACATTAACACCACTTCTCTGGTGACCCATCGCTTTCTGAAGAACTTAAAGTTCAACAATTACCTAATTTGGGTTTGTGACTGGAACTAAGTGCAATTTTTTTCCCCCAATATCCAACTCCTCCTCTAAGCACTGAACAGGAAACATGTTAGGATGACTGAGATGCAGCTTGGGCAACAATATTCAGTGAATCTAAACAAGCAAGCAATGGTGATGGTCAGACCCTTCCATCTTCCATTTTTGTGTATTTAATTTGGTACAATGAGAAATATGGATCCTTCAATTAAAGTGCTGCCATACTACAATGGGACTTTGGGACAGTTTTGTGCAATGAGGACATTGTGAGATTTTGATGTATAGGAGGTTGTACTTTTCTCCACCTCTAAATAAAGAAGGATCCTCAGTATTCAGATATTATGACAGAAGTCTACATCCCCTGTAAACTGCATGGTTGGGTCTCGAAAGCAGGAAGAAGCATCCCTCCTCAAGCACAACATAGCAGAACCTGCCACAGCCAAGAGAGGCACCCCTACCTCAGCCCAGACCAGCTGGAACTGCTGCAACAGTGGGGAGGTGCTCCTCCCCCAATCTGATCCAGTCCAGCCCCAAGGCAGCCTGAACTCCAAACCCTTGATTTCCACCCCTATGCCAAAGCCAGCCCCTCCAGCTGCAGCCCCCAACTCCTAGTGAATTCTGCAAAACAGGGCACCGTTTGTTTTACTTGCATCAGTCTGTCTCTATTTCTGTCTATCTTCCGGTCTTCTGCAAAAGTCTCTCACCATCTCACTCATATACAGTGGAAGGGTATAAACCAGTGGTCTCCAACCTTTTTAAGCACGAGATCACTGTTTTGAATTTAAGTGCAATTCCCAAACCCCCTGGCCCCACCTCCTTTGTGTCCTTTCTCTAAGGCCCTGCCCCCTGCTCCCTCCCACTTACAACCTTCCTTTCATCAGGCAGGGGCAGTGGGTTGGGCTAAGGGATTTGGAATGTGGGAGGGGTTCTGAGCTGAGCCTGGGGCAGGGAGTTAGGATGCAGGAAGGGGTTCAGGGTACAGGCTCTGTAAGGGAGTTTGGGTCCAGAGGGAATACGGCTGGGACTTGGGGTGCAGGAGACCACGTCCTCCTCCATTCTGTGGAGATAGAATATAGTATAGGAGAGGGGGCATCCTGACATCAGCACCCCCTCCTCTCCCTTTCCTGCTCAGCAAGTGAGGGTTTGGGGGGAGGGGGGGAATTCCAAGGCAAAGGACAGATGACAACCAGCAGTGTGGGGAGGGGCAGCTGAAGTGTCAGCATTTGATAGCCACTTGGCCAAACTGTCCAAGATCACCTATCAGAGGCTCCAAGATCTACCAGTAGATCCTGATCGACTGGTTGGTGACTACTGGTATAAACTGTTCAGGCAGAACAGGTGGGGGAGAAAACTGCTCAGAGCTGCAGTGTATAGAGGGAGAAAAACCTGTTAAGAGTCTTTGGGTTAAGTTTAAAGGCAGGAGCAATAGGGGTGAGGTTGTGGCTGGTGTCTGCTATAGACCACCAGATCAAGTGGATGAGGTAGACGAGGCTTTCTTCAGACAACTAAGAGAAGCTTCCAGATCATAGGCGCTGGTTCTCATGGGGGATTTTAATCACCCTGACATCTGTTGG